ATTTTCTTCTTCAGCTTCAGTACTACTATCACTTTCAGATTCTTCTGTATCTGCTTCTTCTTCTGCTTCAGATTCATAATCTCCTTCTTCTACTTCTTCAATCATCGCATCATCCGCTATCAAACTTCCCTTTAGCAAAAATTAATTTAAAAACTTTTAATATTTTAGTCAACTTATTGATTTTTCTTTTCGTAAATCGAATTATTTAAAAAAAAAAAAACATTTGGTATTACATTATTAATTTTTTTTATATATGTGCATCCTGATAATATGTAATTTATGCATTTTTTTTATTATATTTTTATATATGTATAATGCATTTATAATGCATATGTATTCACACATAATATACATATATTCTTTTATACTATTTATATGAACAAATTTTATATATATGTAATTCATATAAAAATTATATAAATAGAGGATGAAGTCTTCTATCTCTAAATATAGTTACATAAATAAAATTTTCTATTGTGACAATATATTTTATCTATATTTTAATCTATTTTAATTTATGGAAAATAAAAAATTTATTAATTTAATATATTTAAAGATTAAGGATTACTTATCTTTTATTTAAAGTTTATATAAAAAATATAGAACTAATAAAATAAAAGGCGATTGCATACTGATACATATACTGTCATAGATATATGTTTATGTATAGATTGAATATACAATATGATGCAGAATTAATGAATTTAATAATATGCAATATTGATTTTAAAGAAATCGAAATCAATATAAATTAAAAAAAAACCAATGTATTCATATAGTTATAATTTTTTTTTTCGATTTTTATAATTATTTTAAAAACCGAAATTAATATTGTAATTGTTTTTAATCTCTGGAATAAATATATTATTTATTATTTTTTTAATTACTTACTTCTGTTTTCTCATTGTTTTTCAATTGTTCTTCTTCTGTTTTTCCAGTACATATATTTGGATGTGTAGCTTCATCAGTTATATTTTTTCGACATTTTGAACACCAAGTGCTAGTACCCGCATGACCAATATGAATACTTGTATGTAGTAACAATTTACTCCGTGCATTATGATATCTATCAAATATAAAAAATTTATTGTTATATACATTATAATATTATATATAAAAGAAAAAAACAAAATACAATACCTGCCACAAATTTTACATGTAAAATTATTTCCTTCAGTTGAAAGAATTGCTTCATGTGCAGCTTTTAAATGTTCTGCCAAATTATTATAATCTTTGCAAAGTTTCAGGCATACTCCACAAGTGACTGCTGCTTCTGCACGATGGAAACGAATTAAATGTTGCCATAAATGTTTTTTTGCTGGCCATTGTTTTCCACACACTTCACAAGCACATTCTGTATTTGTTGATTCATCATAAACTTTTCTAGAATCTTTTCTTGAACATTTTATTGAAGATTTTGTCCTAAAATTATAATTATTTGTAATTTTAGATATACATTTTCTAGATATTAAATACTTAATTATTATGAAAATAAAATTGTTAAAGTTTAAAATTCCATAATTTTATCAAAAAACTAGTGCATAGAAAAGAAAAACTTGAACTCTTTATTTATCTCGTAAGCTAATTTTTTTTTTATTGACATCCAATAATTTTAAGAAATTTTGAATAATTTTTCACTATTATTTTTATTAATTCAAGAAATTGTATTAAGGAATTATATATTGAAAAATATAAATTAAAAAAAAATATTTAGTTATTCTTTTATATTTTGTAATATTCACCTTTGAGAAAGTGGCATAAGATTTGGAAGAGGTTTTTGACCAGAAAGCTGAAGATTTATATCTTCAAAGAGATTAAAATCAGGAATATTTAAATTTGATGTAGGTTCTTCTTTTTTAATTTCATTATTATTCTTCAAATGCTCTTGATTACTTAACATATCATTTCTTGAAGTTAATAATTCTTCCTATAAAAAAATATTAAATTTAATTATAAAATTAAATCAAATTTTTATTTAAAGATATTACTTACTTCCTTTTGTATATTCTTTTACAAGTTGCAATATGATTCCAATATAATGTTTTTGTACAAAATTGCTTCCTACAACTTTTACAAAAGAAATTCATTTTCCCACGCATTTTTCTTTGTTCATCTTGTTTTAATTTTTTAAACATTCTTTCTGGATCTGTATTATGCATATTTCGATAATGTTTCGAAAGACCATCACTATTTACAAACATTTCTGGACACATTTCACAATCATAAGTATCAGTTAAGGATCTTCTTCTTTTTGAATCATTGGAATCCTCATCACATATATCTACATCATATTCTAAATCTTCTGGTTCTTCTTTAATTATTATATCAGGAGACTATATATATAAATAATAATTAATTTTATAATCAATTATATTTAATATTTTATAATTAATTTTATATTCATTTTAATAAAATGAAATGTAATTAACATTTAACATTTTATATATATAATTATTATTATATATTATATTATATACATATGTAATATATGATATTAAATTTTATAATTATTATTTTATTATTAACTTACTTCTATTTCAAAATCCTCATTTTTTGAACCAATATCTAATCTGTGTTCAAATGCAGCAAGTTGATCTTTGGGAATATTATGTATTCTTTCATAATGATCTCTAATTGTTGAATCTTCAGTAAAAACAGCTAAACATTGTTTACAAGTCCTAAATACTTTTCCATGACATTTCTTAGTATGATCAAAAGCTTTCCACTTTGAAGCATATTGTTTTCCACAAACTTGGCATGTATTAGGCCTTGAAAGAACACTGGAATGAACTTCTTCTACATGATTTTTAAGTTCTTTTGGATCTTTCATCGGAATTAAGCATACTCCACAAGATACACCAATTTCATTACGATGAAGAGATAATACATGCATTTTCAATTTTAGTTTATTTTCAACAGTATCACCACAAAAATCACATACATTGGGAGTAGTATGATATCTATATAATGAAAATAAAAAATAAAAAATCTATATAAAATACAATATAAAAAAAGTTAATCACAATGAATTATTTATTTTTGTATTTTTTAAGAAAAATATAAATAATATAATCTAAAATTAATAATAATTAATTTTGTTTAAATTACCTATGATCTTTTCTATGAGTTTCTAAATCTTCTTTTGTTCTAAATAATTTCCTACAAGATCCAAAATTGCAAGTTAAATCTGGATGATCCATATGTTTCACCCTATTATGTGTCATAATTCCTAATTTTGAGGTAATTGTTTCATTACAAAGATGACATGTGTATGTACTATGATGATTTTCAATATGTTTTTGTAAACTAGCACGATCTTTAAATATTCTTTCACAAGCCCTACATCTCGTTAATAATGCACCTGGATCTTTTCTATAATTCTGACATCCCTTCATATGTCTACGTAAAAGATACCGTTTATGAAATCCTTTATTACATTTTTCACAATAATGTAAACTAACTTCTTCAGTTTTAAATTGTCTATTATCTTTTCCATCTTTTCTAGAATCAGGTTCATATCTATGAATTTTTGAGATATGTGCTGCTAAATGATCTTTTGAAGCACTAGTTTTCAAACAATAAGGACAAGTTACATCTTCATGACCTTTGTGGACTCTGTTTACATGTTTCCATAAATGTGATGTTCTTCCATAACATTTATTACAAAGATCACAAGGGAAAAGTCCATGAATAATTCGTCTATGATTACATAACTTCTCTAAATTAGTAAATTTCAAATCTGCACAAAGTTCACAACTTAAATCAGTTTCTCTTATTCGTCCATCTACTTTATTTTCACTATTTTCTATCCCATTATCACAATTTTCTTCAAAACCGTGGATTTTTCTATGTCTAGACATTTTAGATTTATTTGAATAGGGTCTACCACAAATGTCACAACTAAAATCACCATTTGTTAATGGCCAATGTTTCGATCTTACATGAGTGCTTAATTGTAAAACATTGGGAAACACTTTTAAACAGACACCACAAATTAATGGAACAGTATCCGAATGAACGCCCATAACATGTTTCCAATAATCAACTCTACTACCCCAAAGTTTACCACAAATTTCACAAGTATTTGGGGATGAGCCTTGAATTGCATGATGTTGAATGTGTTCATTTCTAAGAGATTTTGTAGCAAAAATTTTACCACAATCTTCACGATCACATTTTATCGCTGATTCATTATTATGTGAAGAGCTAACATGTAACCAACGTTCCCATTTACTAGGATGCGAACTTCCACAAAGTTCACAAACAAAAAAGAGATGATATTGAGCTCTATTTCCACTGCTATTTAAATTCGATGGATTTAAAGGATCCCCCGTAGGTACTAATTGTTCTGACTGTAAAATAAAAAATTTATTCAATATAAATATTTTGGAGAAAAATAAGAAGAAATTTTTTTCTTAATTTTATTTAATAATTTAATAGTTTAATATAATAATAATTTAATAATGATTGATATAAACATTCTTACTCTATGTGCATTTCTTTGATGTCGTATCAAATGATCTTCATTAGGAAATGATTTATAACAAATATAACAATCTACTTTATCTCCATCTTCTTCATAATCTAGCATTTGTTCTGTAGTTTCATTACCATTAATATTTTCTCCATAATAATTACTATTCAATTGAACAAAAGTTGCAGGATCATAATTTGGATCCATATTATGTATAGACACATGTGCAATTAATTTTTTCTGGAATCATGTTGTCTACCACAAATAGTACAACTATATCTATCAAAATAGCAAAATAGAAAAAGTTATAGATTTGTCACTATTATTGAATATTATTTATACAATTTGGAAGAAAATACCTTCTTTGTTCAGAAAGTAACAATTTTGAACCACCATGATACATATTAACATGATTTAAGAGTTGTGTATTGTCTGAACAAATTTTTAAGCAAACACCACATGCAAATGCTGCAAATTCTTTGTGAGTAGCACGGATATGAAGCCAAAGAGATGCACGATCATTAAAATCGCGAGTACAAATTTCACAAACAAATACAGTTTCAATTTCAATGAGATTTTCGTGTCCACTCTCATGATCTTCTTCATTTTCTGCATTTATCTAAAATTGAAAATAAAACAGAGTAAAATTAAAATAATTTTATCTTCTTGATATAAAAAAAAGAGAGAATTATTATTTTATATTCTATAAAACATACCTCTGGAGAAAACGGAAATTCAGAAGAGATCTTGCCCTCATATGAATCAAAGTCCATAGATTCATTCCAATTTTGTAAAACAATTTTCTTTAAACATTTATCATTTTCTATTATAGGACATGGATCAACACCATGCAAAGTTTGAATATGTCTACTTAAAGAAGACTTAAGGACAAAATCTTTTTTACATAAAATACAAACAAATGGCTTATCAGCATCATGAATTGCTTCATGTTCTTTTAAATCCTCAATTGAAGTAAAATACTGAGGACAAGATTCACAATACCATTTTTTATTTTGAATATTAATGTGCTCTATTAAAGAAAAGAAAAAATAATCTTTAGAATTAAATATTATTCTATAAATTTTAGTTTATGCAATTTTTTTACTTTATATACAAATTAAACAATTAGAAATATATAAAAATATATAATAAATATATAATAATTACCTATTTTTGGTAATTTTTTTGGTTTGCTATTTGTTGTAAATTTATCTTCAAAATCTCGCTTGAGACTATCTCCTTTTGTTAATGCTTGTTTTAAAATAGTTAACTGAGGATTTTTTGCTAATTTAGCTTCTGCATTTCTAAGAATGAAATAATTTTAATATTTAAATAATAATTTTAAATAATTTTCATAATAAAACTATAATATGTTTATCAATAATAAAATTAATTCTACCTATAATCTTTGCTATCATCATCACTTCCGATACTCGAAGCTTCAGAACTATCCATAACTTTATTATCTGCAATCCCGATTTTTCCTGGAAAATCTAATCTTTGTCCTTCAGAACAAATTCTGCCATGAAGATTCAATTCCATAGCATCCATACAAATCTTTCCACAAGCATTACACTGATATCTATTTTCTGAACGATAAACATTGTTTACTGGAATTTCCATAGATGCTGGAAGACCAGCATGACGTGATTTTATATGTTCTTCTAAATTTGTTCGAGTAGAGTAAATCCGTGAACAATAACCACATGTCACTGCAGGATGACCTCTAATACAAAGATTATATATAATTGTTATTATTATTATATATTATATATATTTTTTCTTTTACATACTTTAAAATTATTTGTTTTATATAATTATAAAATGAAAACATCAGAATTAAAGTGTATACCTATGAGTTGTTGAAACATGGCCCCAACGATGTTTTGCGGTGGAATATGATTTATGACAAAGATCACATTGATAAGGTCTTTTATAAGATGTATGATCATCTGTAAGAACTTTTTCACCAATCACATCACCGGCACCAACATGAATGCGTGCGTGTAAGGATAAATGACCTTTTGAACTAAATGCTTTACTGCACAAGGAACAAACATAAACTTCATGTTGCTGAGATGTATGCTGTAATAATATTAATCATCAGATTTCATTAATAATATTTAAATTATTTTCAATTAAATTCAATTATAATATACCTCTGGTAAGTTATTGGAAATTTCTTGATGTCTTAATTCTGATTCATCAGGTTCTTCTGTAACTATTGAGGTCATTTCCAAAAAATCACTTGGATTTGTTTCCATATCCATTTCATACTCTACTGAATGACGATCTTCAGACTCATCTATTATTGTTGCTTAAATAAAGAAAAAAAATAGAATATTTTTCTTTGAAAAAAATTTTTTAACAAAATTTTTTAATGAATTAAAAAATAAAAAAATACCTTCATCTGTACCACTGTTATCAACAATTTCTTCAGTGTCATGATCAGCCTCACCATCAGAATTTAATCTAGGAGGTGTGCCTAAGGCAGCATTTGGATTTACAATAGGAGCTTCTGGAATCAACACTGGTATACTTTTTCTTCCTTTAAAGAATTCTGAGTCATTAAAACATGTTAGAGTTGTAACATCTTCATTCTAAACAATGAAAAAAGAAATTTTTTAAATAATAAAACTTAAAAAAAAGTAACAAATTATTAATAATAATATGAACAAATTTTAATTTTACCGATTCTGAAGGTGACAAACACCTTTCTAATAGAGCCACTGCATTAACACATGCTGTTCTAAAATCATAGAAATTTTCCAAATTGTACATACACCGATAACAAAGGCATTTTGGTAATCGATCATCTTCTGCAATCTGAAATTAAATATTTAATATTAATTTTCTAATAATTTTCAATATATTTTAATATTAATATGCTTACATATAGAGAATATATTAATTATTTATTTCTTAATTATTTCTTAATTTAAATATATTAAAATATTTATTGTTAATTAAAAAAAATTGAAATTATGAAATATTCAAGTATATAATATATCAAATAATATATAATATATTAATAATATATAATATATATATAAAATATCAGATGATATATTATGTAACAAATTTAGTTTAAAATAAATAAAATAATATAAATTGTATTAAAATGTATGGATTAAACTTATAATATGTAGATATTTCATAATATGTTATATATCAAATAAAAAAATATTAAAATTATATATTAAAAAGTTACAAATAATTAATTTTTTAGAAGATAGAAAAACATACAATATCAATTATATAAATATTATTTTATAAATATATAAAAAATGTATTAAATATTTTATAAAGAATATAAAAAGATAATATTATAAATTATAGATATCTAAATATAAATTAAAATATATAATACAAAAATATCAATTTTTTTAATAATAAAATATATGATTATAAAAATTTTATAGTATAGTATATCATATAGTATATAGTGTATTATAAAAATATATAGTAAAAACAATTATATAAAAAATTGTAATTTAAAAAAATACATAGTAAAAATTATTCATGAAAAATTTTATTATAAAAATATATATAATATATATAATATATATATATCTTTAACTATGAACACATAGGTTAACTTTCTAATTTTTAATATATATATATATATTATATATTATATTATAATATAATATATAATAATATAATAATTTTTTATTTAAAGGATAGAAAGATATATCAGAATTATTTTTTAATATATTTATTAAAAATTTCATTAAAAATATTAAAAAAAACTAAATAAAAAATTAACTAATAGCTAAAAAAAAATTTAATAACAAAAGTAAAATCATGAAACATAAAATTTATAAGGACATATTCTTAAAAAAAATATATATCTTTTTTTTTGGAACACGAAATGATATATTATATATCAATTTATTTTAATAACGAAGATTATAAAAATTATAAAAATTATTCTGCAAAAATTTGTTTTTTAATAAATTTGATTTCTAATTTTTATAAAAATAGCGGTCATATTTATTGTAAATAACCAATAATAAAACACATTAATGGATTTAAATGAAAATTTAAAAAAATAAAAGAAAATTAATGTATGTTGGCATAATCGGTCATTTTGCAAGTATTAGATTGTATTTGATTATTTTCAATTCATAAAATGACTGTTTATGACTAACTTCCTTTAAATTTTTCAAAATCATTTGAATCGATTTTTTTTTTAAATATGTCATTGTTCAAATCTGTGAAAAGATAATTTTTTAACAATATAAACAGGAATCTATTTTTTATCTATTTCATTTTATAATTTTTATTTAACTTTTAAAAAAATGTAATATATTAATAGTTAATAATATTTTTGTTAATAAGACACAATTTATATATGTATAATATATATATAATAAATATATATATATATATAACAAAAACACAAAAAATCGCAAAAAAAATTTTATAATCTTCCAATTTCTTCGTTATAATGAATCGATTGATGTATTATATATCATATTTAATATTCTGAGATTATTTTAGAAATATTTTTAAAATAAATATTAAAATATCAAAATAATTATTAATTGAAATATTTAAATATACTTTTTAAGAAAAAATATGTAATAAAATATATTGAAATAAAATTAAAAAATATATTTGAAAGAATTAATAAAACAAAAAATAATAGAAACGAAATGATACGTAGATTTAATATTAAATTAATTTTTAAAATCGAAAATGTAAAAGACAAAAAATAGTATTTTATTAATTAATTATATGTTATTAAATACATTTAAAAAGAGTTAAAGAAAAGATATTACCAGAAAGAAAATAAAAGAAAATATTTCTACATAAATAAATTGAAGGCTAAATTGAATTGTTCTAAATTAAATTGGCCTAAGTTTTCTATTATGAATGTAAAATATTTTAGAAATATAAAGTTGATATGAAATGAAAAGCATATAAGAAATATATCTCGTAAATGAACAAATACCAACCTTAAATGGCAAACAAGCTTGTATCTTGTCAACAAGCTGTCTGTTTTTGCCTTCTTGACCGAAGATGTCCATTTTGACGGCGTCGTAGGATGCGCAAAGCCTGCAGAGCTCTTGGTAGCGTTCCCTGGACTCCATCGTCGGCGTGGCCACGAAGAAGATCACAATACTGGCCCGAGGATAATCCGGATTTCCTCGTGATAGTGTAGAAAAAGGCTCCTCTGGCCCGGACTCGGCCTTCTTCTTCTTCTTCCTCGGATCACATCCTTTGGAGCGGGGATCCGCGGCTCGCTGCGACACCGCACGGCTTCCGTTTACGGGCTACTTCCTGGCGATTTTCACGACAGTTAAGGCCCCGGGCGCCGCCATCTTGTACACAGACACTTGTTCCATCAGTTCTGACGAGCACGACCTCCTCCATATCGCTAGATCTCTTATACTTCAACAGATATATCCAGTGATTTTTCAATACTTTAGAAACCTCGAATTGTATTTTGGGTTTATATAAAGTCTAGTTCATATTGAATTGATTTCTGTAACTTCATTGCAACTTTTCAATATATATTATAATTGATGAACAATGTGATTGGTTCATAATTATCTAGTTAGTGATATTTCTTCTGTAGGAATTATATCATAATATTAAATTTATTAAATTTTGTCTTTTATATTAATAAATTGCAATAATTGTGACATTCTAAAACTTAAATTGGATAGCATGATATGCTTTTTTACTAATCGATATACAATTTTATTTGTAAATATAAAATTTTAATCAATAAACATTCCTATTTTTTATTGTATATAGTCTATCAAATAACTAATCAAATTTATATTTTTTTTATAAAATTTCTTATTAAATTTCTTATTCAATGTCGTATAAACGTAGATTATATATTATTTGCATCGACAGTGTATATTTCAAATTCAAATAACAGTAATAGAAAAATCATTTATAGGAAAAAGATAATTCAAAATGGTGAATAGTGTATCACATGATATGTAATGTAAGCAATTATATACAAGTGAGGTTATATATTTGTTTGTGAATAATTTTTGAATTATTAATAATAATATAATGTATATTGTATAAAAAAATTACAAAAAACGATAAAATTGTGATATAAATTCTATTAAATTGAAAAGCTTTGCATTAAAAAAATATATATTTTTTATCCCTTCTTTTCGAATTCGCACAAGAAATAAATTTATCAAAAACTATTTTATTTTGCAATTAGTAATCATGAATAAATAATTTTTGTAGATATCTATATATTATTTTTATTATTTTTTTTAAACTAAAGTCTTTTTTAAAGAAATAAATTTATCAAAAACTATTTTATTTTGCAATTAGTAATCGTGAATAAATAACTTTTATAGATATCTATATATTATTTTTATTATTTTTTTTAAAGTAAAGTCTTTTTCAAAGTAAGAATTATAAATTGAATATATCAGTGTATCAGTAGTTTCAATTGGCTGTATTTTCAAAAACCTGTTAACCTGTCAACAATTTAGCTGAAATTTTGCAAATAACTTTATTTTATATAAAAAAAATATTTGCAAAAAGAATTTTTGATAACTTAAAAGTTAAAACTTGAAGTTTCGTAAAAAATATTTTATTATTATAAAGTCAGTCTTTGCATTATGAATCCAATAAGATAGCATAGACGAGATAAAAATAAATCAATTATCTTACTAAACTTTCATTACAGATTAGATATAAATATATCAATCATGCAATGTATTTTTATGATCCAAGTTTCTGATACTTTAGATTCTAATCTTATTATCATATAGTCACATACTATCAACAGAATATAGAATCTGATTGATTCAGTGAAAATCTATAGCAAATACTATAGCAAATCAAACATATAAATAATATATGTTTTAAAATATAATTTGTAAAATAATAATTTGTAAAATAATTACTATCTAAGATTATTTGGCAATATAGTAGCAAGAAAAAAAGGTCCAAGTAAGAAAGCAGTAAGAAAATGAGATCCAAAATTGAAATTCTTTGAATATTTTAACAATAATCATTGTTAATTAATATTAATTATTATATAATAAATAACTTATGTTTTTATAAAATGAATTAATTTTTAATTTCTTTTCTATTATTTCTGTATTAAGATTCTTTTTTTTCTAATTAATTATTTTTAAAAAAGTAAAAATTAAAAACTCATTAATTTTTCTCTTTTAAGAAATTAAAAAAAAAAAATATAATATATATTAATTATATTATAGTAATAATAAATTAAAGATTATATTCCTCTTTCTTTTTTTTTATTTTTTAATCCTAATTAAAAGAAGTATTTTTAAAAAAAATAGAGTTTCAATTTGTATGAAATTTAGAGGAATGGTGAAGGAATAAATTTATTTATGTCTCCTTTCTTCCAATTCCTTTAAATTTCACATTAATCAAAAACATATGCTCTTGAAACTACAGCCTATAAATTAATTTTTAGTTATTTGTTTGCAACCATCAAATAGTCACAAAATTTATTCATCTGTGAAAGTTTTCTTATAAAGAAATCTTTTCCTATTATGACTGAATGCTCGTTCTTTGTTAAAATGTGATGAAAGATAATAGAATGATGTTAATGGAAGGCAATGCCATTTTTGAGAGAAATATTTAGAAAACTTAAAATTATTTTATAATTTTTTTAAATTATTCCTAGTAATCTAGTGTAAATCTTGAAACTTGGAATGACATTTCTAATTATGAAAACCTCAACGATAAAGAACATCACATACATATTTATATTATTAAGATATGATATATGTATATATATATTTATATTCATAATAAAAATAAAATGAAAAGACATTTAAAATTTTCTATTTTTTTTATATAGATACTAATAATAATGATATATTTATATGTATAGCTGAAGATAAATCAACTTCTGAAAATCAAAAACTGAGAAAAATGATGAATTTATTTTTATATTATATTTATTAAATTAAATATTTAATTATTATATATAAATGTATTAATAAAATTTTTCTATATTAACAATAATTCATTTCAATTTTTCATTCAAATTATTCTTAATAAATGTTTCTTTAAAAATATCAAATATCAAATGATGTGTCATTAAAAGGTTGATTTTTTTAGATTGTCATTCAAATCAAAATACAAAAATATGATTTAAATAGTAAGTATTATAATAAATATTATTAATTATAAAGAGTTTCTGAAAATATTTTTCATTTTTTAATTGAATCGAATATTAAATAAAAAAATATTTGAATTTTCTTTCAAAATTATTGATTATATAGTGTTATTCTAATAAATATATATTTTTTTTAAATATTATTGTTTTTGAAAATATTTATTTATTTAAAAAGTTATTAAGATATGACATCAAAAAAATTTTCGCAAATATTTATTTAAAAAATTATAAAGATATCAAAAAAATAATCTGAACAATCTTTTTTCATCGTCATAGCTGCGATATATTGCCACAATTTCATTCCTTTGATAATATTTTTTGCTTAACAAAAATTATTTAGAATAATTGTTTGTAGCATGTAAGAATATATTGCTAGGCTTAACTAGATTTTTACTAATAATTTAATAATTATTTCATTGCATATGATTATTTACAAGCAAGAGAAACTGAAATCAGTGTCAAATTTTTAAGTGGATATAAGTCTAGTTTGGATCACGAAAGATGTAACTTAAATAGAAATATATTCTAAATCAATTAGTTTATAAACTTTTAAAAACTTAACTGTCATACCGATATAGAAGTTTGATAGTTATTTTAACGATTTTCGCTCATAAATAATAATTAATATAATGAAATAATTAGTAAAAGTTAAAATATTAGTAAAAGCCAAATGAATATATTAATATATTATTTGGCAATGCTCGATGCAGAGAAATGATTTTTATTACGCAAACTGTATTACCGAAATTATACATCGTGATAATACATCGTGGATTTGTGATACATAAATTGATTGTTGCATAAAATACTATTAGAATATTATTTTATAACTCTTAACTAAATCAGTTGAAATTTTGAAAAATGAGAAAAGAAATATAAAATTTTAGTTTTTAGAATCTTTATTAGTTTCAAAGATATTAATAAATAATACATTGAATTCTATTTATTATTTATGTTATATTTTTATATTATTTTTATATTATTTTATATTATATTTCGTATTTATATATTATATTATACTTATATATTATATTATATATATTATATTATACTCCTTAGCAAAAATGCATTGATAGTATGATTGTTCTATTATTTTTATAAACATATTGTAGGATATTCAAAATATAATGAGTAGATCAAAAACTTATTTCTTTATAAATTATAATGATTTAAAATATTTCAAATCTAATATCGAACTTAGCCATTTTAGAAAAATTTTGTGAAATCGAATATCGAGATAAGTGAATGCTAATGATGTTAATAGTGAATATCTATAGAATCTACAATCTACTAAAAATCTGATCACTGATCACTTGTGTAAAATGTATCAGGCAATATTGAAAAAAATCTAAAAGTTCTACATAGTACCAGTAAATTATGATGTTTTTCTTTTTTCTGCTTACAACTTAATGGAATCTTGAAAATATATCAAGGAAAAAAAATTTAATTTATTTGAAAAGAAATTCGAATCGTGAGTATCTTTAATAATATCGTTTTATAGACATTTTTGTCATCTTACACTCGATTATATTCTTTATATTTTTTGCAAAGTTCTTTACATTGATTCTGAAGAAGTTAAAAATAATTGATTTATTATATGCCGTCGCTTATGTGAATTTGAATTTAATACTATCCTAGCTAAACTATAAATTGATATTTTTATTTTTAAGAAATATTAAGAGAATAGAAAAAACAATATGCAAGTAAAAATTTTGTATATTTTGTAAATTTTGTGTATCATGTACATGTGATAAATGCTATTACTTTAGCATATTTAAAATAGAAACGATTTGTGTTAGACTTCCGTAAAGATCCTCTTAATTTGATATTTAATAATGTCAATTACTATAGTGAATACAATTGTGTTAGTATATTTATATTTGGATAGATAACATCAATGAATTAGTAATATTTGTATACAAATTTTCAATATATAATATTAAATATTTTTTATTAACATTTTGGAAATCAATGAATTCGTGAAACTTTAACTTTTTAAAAAAATTTTATTAAATTTTTCCCTTTCCTTTCTTTAAATATCATGCTATTTACGACTAATGTCATATGGAACTTTATTCATTATTTATTATAATATATAATATACTTATTATAATAATTTATATAATAATTAATATTAATTAATTAACATTATTTAAAAAATTCAAGGAATTTCATTAATCTGAATCTCTTTTTTCGGTTGTTATTCCGTATATAATATATATATTATTTTATATATATAATAATATAATGTTAAAAAAAGTTTTAGATAATTACTTGTTTCATAGTCTCAAAAATTTAGAATTTTAAAAAAATACATTGCATTTAGAGGAATTAGAGTATATTAAAAAATATATTATATGATTATTCTATCTGGTTTGGC